GGGTTCTTTCCACAGAGATACCCAGATGTCCTGAAATGCTCACATTCCCAGTCTATCCATCTTTCTATCCCTTAGCCAGTTCTCTCTCCTCACCCTTAGCCCTGCCCCACCCCTGAGTGCCCCAGATAACAGAGCAAAAGCACCTAGTAAGTACATAGGTCAGTTTGTCAGAGATCCCTGGGCCTCCTGAGGCTGTCACAGCTGCATGGCAGGGAAGGGGATCTGCCTCGCTGTTGGAGAGCACAGCTGTGGGCTGCCCCCTGATGGTTCTGTAGGTAATGAGTACCATGGAATGGTAAAGTCCAGCCTTTAGCCAGCTCTGTCCATCCTGAGACTGCCTGGCCCCTACTTCCCCTTCAACAGCACCCTTCCTCCCACCCCCCAATCCTCATATCCTAGGGCTCTGTGACCTCTGCCCCAGCCTGGAGAAACAACTGCTAGTGTTCCCAGGACACAAGTGTGGGAGTCTGCAACTTGTGGTGAGCTATCCAGTTGGCAGGGGTGGATAGGTGGGTGGGCTGGCTCTCCCTGTAGATTCTGGGACCCTGCCCTCCATACTTCCCCAAGCCTAAACTGTTCCTTCCCACTATAGGACCTGGCAAGCACAAAGCCTGGCACTTCATCTGCTCCGTTTACCATCAATGCACATCAGAGCGACGTGGCCTGTGTGTCCCTAAACCAGCCAGGCACTGTAGTGGCCTCGGCTTCCCAGAAGGGCACCCTCATTCGCCTTTTTGATACACAGTCCAAAGAGAAACTAGTGGAACTGCGCCGAGGCACTGACCCCGCCACCCTCTACTGGTGAGCACTGAGTAGGGTATGCATGGTGGGCCGGTGACCCCATGCCACATAACGTGGGCATCTGCCGGTCTGTCTTACAGTATCAACTTCAGCCATGACTCTTCCTTCCTGTGCGCTTCCAGTGATAAGGGCACGGTCCATATCTTTGCTCTCAAGGATACCCGCCTCAACCGCCGCTCCGCGTGAGTACCCCTGCCCCACCCTGCTATGTCCTCATCCCCCTGCCCGTGTACCACACCTGGGCCTAGCCAGTACTGCTTGCAGGCTGGCTCGTGTGGGCAAGGTGGGGCCTATGATTGGACAGTATGTGGACTCTCAGTGGAGCCTGGCAAGCTTTACCGTGCCTGCCGAGTCAGCCTGCATCTGCGCCTTCGGTCGCAACACTTCCAAGAGCGTCAACTCAGTCATTGGTGAGTGAGACTATCCCTTGACTGGTGGTAGTGCATAGGCAAAGACCAGCAAGTTGGACTTGAAAGAATTTTTGGGAATGAGAAACCTGAGAAAGCTAGAATGGGTGGCTCAACTGCATCGTCGGTGAGGGGGATGGGTATGTGGGCAAAGGCCTGAAAGGGGGACCATAGGCCATAGGACACCAGAGAGGATTGGAGTGTGCGAATTTGGCAGCCTCTAACCTTTTACTGATCTTTTCCCCCTTCAGCCATCTGTGTAGATGGGACCTTCCATAAATATGTCTTCACTCCTGATGGAAACTGCAACAGAGAGGCTTTCGATGTGTATCTTGACATCTGTGATGATGATGACTTTTAAGGACCCTGTGGGTTGTGCTAAGGAACCGCAGTGACAGAGTGCAAAGCATTTGTTGGGGTGGGAGTGCTGGAAGCCCCAGCTAGCAAGCAGTAATGGGGCTGGCGCCCACTTTCCTTCCACAGAGCAATGCCTAAACAGCTCATTTCCCTCAAGCACTTCTCCTAAGCACTTCTTGATTTTGTGTCTTTGAGGACTGTGTGTCCACAGGGCCAGGCCAGGGACCCAGGGAGGCAGCAGATGCCCTGGGGCTTCCAACCTGGAAAAAACTACTAGGGACCCAGAGGGACTGCCCTAATCCAACTTGTGGGGATAAAAAACAACAAAAAAAAAAACAACTTCCCAGAAAGAGCCAATCTCTGATGTGATGAATATGAATAAAAAGCCCTTATTAATATTTATGGCTGGACCTCGGGGGTGGGGCCTGGAGGAGATGAGGCTGAAAAGGCCCTGCAGCAGTTTCCAGGAAAGCTGTGACCCTCTAGGACCAAGACTGGAGAAGGTGGGATCCTACTCCGGTCCTTCTAATAGTTCCTGCCTTCATCTCTGCCACGTTTGAATGTCTGACTACTATGTGCTTGCGCTGCCAGCGCTGCTCGAAACAGTTTCCTTGGCGCCCCCACCCGGTGGGTGGATGGGAACGTCTCGCCCGCGACCGTGGCTTGGTTTCCTGGCAGCCCCGCTACCTTAAAGTTCAGGCGTCTTTGCTTTTCCGGTCATGTGCGTTGCTGCGCCTGCGCAGTCCACCTAGGCGGGCAGCATAGCAGCCGCCCCGCCCAGATTCCATTTCCCAGTGTCCGCCCGGGTGGCGCGGGGTGTAACGGTTGTTGTAGTCCGGCTGCTCTTTCTGGCTGGTCCAGCTACATCGATTCGCAGGATGTCGGAGGTGCGGCTGCCACCGCTACGCGCCCTGGATGACTTCATTCTGGGGTCGGCACGTCTGGCGGCCCCGGATCCATGCAATCCGCAGCGATGGTGCCACCGCGTCATCAACAACCTCCTCTACTATCAAACGAACTACCTTGTCGGCTTCGGCTTCGGTCTCGCTCTGGCCGGGTGAGGGAGGGAGGGAGACGGCAGTTGGCCTGAGACGCCTTTAGGGCATGGAGGGTGGGCCCGCGGGATTCTGAGAACCGGGATGTGTAACTTGAGGGGGCTGCAAGACCTGGAAGGGTGAATTCAATAGAGATGGAAAGCTTACGGAGAATGGGAGGGAGAACTTGAGGGGAGTGGAACCTAGTTATAAGAAGGGCCTGGGGCGGGATAGAGTCTGGCTGAGGTGGGCACGAGGTGGGTAGAGGGACTGGAGGGAAGACCTGGGAAGGATGGAGAAAGTGTGGGCTGGGAGGTGGACCTGAAGATAAGGAGGGCCTGAAAGTGAGACGTGAGTGTATCTGGGAGTAGCGGGGCGATGTGAGTGATGGGGCCAGATTAAGGCGGCTCTGGAGGCCTTAGGACAGCGACAGGGACATACACCTCAGTGGTCAAGTTGAAGAGTGTGGAGCGTGGACTTGTGGAGGATCTGGTCTTGGAGGGGAGCCTGGCTATGATTGGAACGCAGCAGGAGCAGGTACCTGTTGGGGAACTTGAGCCAAGAGGGAGAACCCAGGGATGAAAGGCCTGAGACTAGAGAGGAAGGGAGAATCTGGAGGAGGGACTTGAGTGGGGTTGGAAGTTAAGAGTGTGACCTAAAGCCTGGAAGTGGTTCTAACAATGATGGAGGGAGGAATCTATAGTGAAATGGAAACCTGGAGGGGGTAATTTGAAGGGGAGGAAGCCTGGAAGGGAGTCCTGTAAGGATCCTGGACCTGGGGAGAGGGAAATGTTTGATTACAGAAGGCCTGGAAAAAGAATCTGCAAGGGTTGGGCTCAAAGGGTGGTTTTGGGGGCAGGATGGGGCGGGATGCTGGAAAGGGGCCCCTGCGGGGGTAGAGGTCAGAAGGAAAGAGCAGGGAAGGAGCCTAGCGGGATGGGAGGGTCTGAAGCTTACTTAGGAAGATGAAACTGTGGGATTGAAAAGAAACAAGGGTCCACAGGGTGAGTCCAGGGCTCCTGGAAGTCGGAAGCCCTGGAAGATGGACCTGTTGGGTGCAGGGCTGGTGGGAGTATTTTCCGGGGCGGGAGGGTCCCGAGAAAGGGGACAAAGCTCTTGGGGCCTGGGATCGGGTGCACGGTGGTCTGGAAGGCTCGGAGGCCAGACGACCCTCCCCCTACTGGTCGATTAGCTCAATTCTATTGTCCCCGCAGGTACGCGCGCCCGCTGCACACCCTGTTAAGCGCGCTGGTAGTGGCGCTAGCCCTCGGGGTGCTAGTATGGGCGGCTGAGACTCGCGCAGCCGTGCGTCGCTGCCGCCGCAATCATCCCGCCGCCTGTCTGGCCGCAGTGCTTGCCGTCGGTCTCCTGGTTCTCTGGGCGACGGGGGGCGCTTGCACTTTCCTGCTCAGCATCGCGGGGCCCGTGCTTTGTGAGTCTCCAGTACCCTAATAGCCAGAAACACGCCTGACGCATGCGCGTGGCGCCAGGCCGGCCCTGCCCTGGTTCCGGGTTGGAGAGGGCTGGGAGGCCCGGCGGACATGGCCACACCCCTTTACAAACCGCCTTCCCTGGGTTTGCTCCTCTCTTTTGGGAATACCTCCTTAATACCTCCTTTCCGGACTTCACTCTTGGTGTTAAGTGTCTTCTGCCGGCCACGTTCCCGTTACCGTGCACGCTCCCTGGCCCCGCCCCTCTTGCAAAGCACGTTACTCAGTCACACAATCAGGATCAGAGGTGTCCTGGCCACTGACCACTCCATTGACCTGCTTGTGCCCCAGTTCTCCTCTGTGGGCCCCCACTGGCTAAAGGTTTATGTCCTGTCCCACTGACTCCATTCCTCTTGGTATTGCCCATAGTGATCCTGGTGCATGCCTCGCTGCGTCTGCGCAACCTCAAGAACAAGATCGAGAACAAGATTGAGAGCATTGGTCTCAAGCGGACGCCGATGGGGCTGCTACTGGAGGCTCTGGGACAAGAGCAGGAAGCTGGATCCTAGGGGCCTGGAATCTGTACCCAAGACCTGGAGAATGCTACCCCCACCCTGGCGAGTACCCAAGATTCAGAACCCTTTCCCAGCCCTTAAAATAGGAGCCCCTTGCCCAGTTTCAAAAGCCAAGCATCTGTGATGCTCTCCTCAGATCCATTACCTAGGGAACCAGAGTCTTACCTAGCCCTGAACTTGGGACCCAGATCCACTCACATCCAGCACAAAACGGCCTTGGAGAACCGAGCATTCATGGTCAACATCAAACTCTGGACTGAGACACTCCCTCAACCCCAATCTGGAACTTACTGGTCTCAGCTCCAACGCTGGGGTGTGGAACCAAGGCATTCTCAAATCTTGAACCCTAGACCAAGGCTTTTCTAGATCCCACCCCAGCTTTGAACCCAGATCGAGGCATTGCCAAATCTTGATTCCAGGACCCAAGTGTTCCCAGCCCGTTTGGGTGGAAGTCAGATATCCTGACCCTGTTGAACCCTTGGTCCCAGGTGACTCCAATGCTCCCAGTCCCACTTGCCTCCTTCCACTTCTGTTTAGAGATTCCGCTCCTTCCCCAAAAGGTTCTTCAGTTGGTGAGAGCACAGGGTGGGGTGGGTGGGGATAGCCCCAATGTGGAATGAGGCATATATATCAGTGTTGCTGCAACAATAAATGTTGTTGCATTGTTCAAGCCAATTGGGCCTCCTGGATAAAGTCTGCATTTCAATGGCCAGAGTGGCCTGCTTTTCAGTTCTGCTAGACTTTCTGACTGGGTCTCTGTCAAATATGTGGGCCAAAGGGGTGAGATCTCAGTTCCTTCCTGGAACCTGTTACCTCCAGAGTGGCACTAACACACAAGGTAGTTAAGGGCATGCAGTGTTCCCATCATCATTTGCATCATTAAGGGCTCTTGTTCAGGGCTGGCTATAAGTCTTAGTGCACACAGGGAAAGAAGTTGCCTCACGTCACAAAGCAAATAAAACTAAAGTGGATGACATTATTTCAGGCTGTTTCTGTAGTGTTACTAGGTGTTATAAAAACATGTGGTCTTAACTACAGGTGTGGGCCCCAAGGCAAGGCAGAGAGAGGAGCAACACATGGATTCAGTTTACACATTTATTCTAGAAATCCTCTTCCAGTGTGGATAGTGTCTTGGGCCCAGATCCACTGGTACAAAAAGAAAAGTTTAACACCAGGGAAAGGGGGTGGGGGAACCCCCAGCTCCAGAAAGTCACAGAGAGATATAGGAAACACAGCTTGTGCAGATTTGTTTAAAAAGTGGTGGATGGAAAGAAAGCCAAGGAAGATGTGAGGCAGCCTGTGGCCAGATGTCACCTGAGGATTTTATTGGCATCTACCAAGTGCCAGGTTCCATCATGGCAGCATCCCAGGACACAATACACCTGATGGCTCTGCCCTTTGGCCTTCCAGACTGGGGATAGTTAGGGCAGAGGCTGCGGCCAAAGGCCAGGCCATCTCACCCTGGGGGCAGAGGCAGTGGGCACAGACAGGCAGACAGGGACTGGGGCTCCTTCGGGTACCCCTGGGGTGAGAAAATGAACCCAAGCCTCCCACCCAGACTTCAGTCCTTCCGAATGTGGGTTCTCTGCCCACTTCTCTAAGAACTGACCTGGTGGGAAGTGGCAGAGAGTTCTGTTCACACCAGAGTCCCTGGCTGCCCCAAACAGAGCCCATTTTGTGGAGGGGGTTCCTGAATGGAACAGGCTGGGCATGGGGACAGGAATGAACTCAACCAGACGAAATCACAGTTTCCCTTTTATAAAACGTCTAGTGTTGGGGGAAGACAGTGAAAACCTAAATCACAACTGTAAACAGAAATGGAGGAAGGGGCTTAGAGTCCCTGTTACACATCGTCCCTCTTTAAGCTGGCCGAGGGCCCCCAGTTCCTAGCACAGTATGAGAGGAAAAGCAGGGCATCAGACACCTTCGTGAGTCCACAGGGAGCTGGGGGCCTTGGAAGATCAGGCTGGCAGCCCCAGGACCTAGAGGAGCAACCACACCCCAGGACTCAGTGAGGTCAGCTGAATGCTCCCCAGACTGGAGTCATGCCCAGGCCAACAAGGGTATATCAGAAGGGGTCACACCAGTGTCCCTGGGGTCTGAGGGTCAGAACTGGAGGACTGCTCCCCCTCTAGCGTCAGGTCACTTAAACGAGCGCTCAGCAAGGGCCAGCAGCAAGACAGAGGACAGGAGGGGAAGACAGAGAAGAGAGGAAAAGACAAACAAGACACAGAAAGAGAGGAAAAGAGGCTCGTTAAAGAGGTGGAGGCAGGCACAGGAGACAGCACCTTGAGGCTTGCAAGCATGGAGTATGGTGAAAAGAGGAAGAAAACGGCAAGGACACATGATGCCCCTTCCTCCCAGCACCCCGGTTCCAAGGCTCATTTTCAGCTGACATGCACTGGTTGTTAAAATATTAAAATTCTTCCATAGCTTAGTAAAGAACTGCTGCTACCAGGGCCCAAGAAACCCCTCTACCGAGACCCAATGGACTAATGTAGGTCAGGAAGGGCCCAGTGACCCTGTACCAAGGCTGCAGCTACAACTCTCATGGTCCAAGCCATCAGCTCTCATGACTAGCTGCCCCCTGGCCTGGAGACCCTTGCCATCTGCCTCAGGGACCCCTACCCATCAGTAAAAGCACCCCCCATACCTGCCAGAGACAGGGGGCGCCGTGAAACTCCTCGAGTGCGGGAGGGGCGCCTGGCTGGGGGCCCCATACAGCGCCTGGCCCACCTCATAGCAGCGGGCATGGAGGAAGGGCGGGTGTTGTGAGACCATGTGGGGGAGCACAGGCCGGCGCTGGGGCCCCGCAGCCAGTCCCGAGTTCCGGATGTACCAGTCCCGAAGCCCCTCCAGGGCAAGATTCTTATGGCCGCTGCGCTCAATACGGGTGGGTGGGGGAATCCACAGCAGAGGGTTTGGATGCACCTCTGGACCCTCAGCAGCCTCCAAGGGGAGGCCACAGGGCTTGGTGCGGGTGGCACGGGTGTGGGAGTCCTTGCTACGGAGGAGGGGGCTGCTGCCGTCAGCTGCATACACAGATGGTGGGCCTGGGACCATGGCAAGGAGCCCATCCCGGCGGGAGAGGGGTCCTGGGACCTCAGCTGCAGGCAGCAGCTCCCCCCAGCCTGACCCACCGATACCTCGGGGCAGGCCTCGGTCCAGGGAATAGTCCAAGAGGAAGTCTCCACACATAGGTGGGAGCCTGGGAGCCCCACGGGAGGCAGGGGCAGCTGAGCTTGGCCGGGCAGCCCGGGGAGGGTCTGGGGGGCCAGCTGTTCGGGAGGAGAAGGCAGGGGTTGGTTGGGGGCGCTCATACAGCACCTCACTGCTCTTGCAGACTGGGGGACCAGTGGCAGGGGGAGCCAGAGGTGCAGGTGGGGAGCCAGCTCCCCCGCCAGCTGCCCGGTCCACTAGTAGGGCCTCAGAGCTGTTGCTGCGGCGGGTGCGAGCTGCGAAGAGGGAGGCACGGTCAGAAGCCGGGTCCACCCGGGGGAAGCCCATCTGGGAGTCCTGGCTGCCGGACCACTGGCGAGAATATAGGCCTTCAGGTCTGAGGGAGTGGAGGTGGGGGTGATGAGAGGAAGGTCAGAAATATCAGGCAGATGGGCTGAGTGCCCTAGGTCTCTACGATGTCTCCCTCTGAGCCTTCATTTCCCCATCTCCAAATGAACCCAGGATTAGAAATTGTGTGCATAAAGGTGTTAGATAGAGGCATGCAAAGGGCAATAGAGATTCTGTCCCAGACTGGGGGGCAGAGGGATTGAAAATGTATGAAGGCCCTGGGGCTATTAGCTCCGAGGGAGTTGTCAGTGTGTGTAGGGCTGGAAAGGAAATACTGGCAAGAGAGGGCCCGCTAAAGGGCTCTTCCAAATACATCTGACCTGGCACTTCTCATGACTCCCCACTTCCTCCACGATGAGGTCCTAATCCTTAGGCTTTTCCTGAACTCTCTGTCCCGCTATGTGTATTAACCGCCAAAAACTATCATCCAAACGGCCACCATCAGAAGATGCAAGCACCAAAAGGATGGGGACTTTGTTTTATTCACAGCCTGAGAAAAGCAGGCACTTAGTATTTAAGAAACAATAGAGTACAGTGGTTAAAAGCACAGACTCTAGAATCAAACTTACCTGGGTTCACATACCAGGTCTTCGATTTACTAACAAATCACTTAACCTCTCTGTGTCTCAGTTTCCTCATCTATAAAATGGGAATGCCAACAGCACCTACCTCACAGGGATCTTGTGATGATTAAATGAGTTGATACCATGTAAAGCATTGATTCCTAGCAGTCAATAGGCACTCAATACATGTTATCCAGAACTTATGCCCACAGAGTCTCTCAAAGGCAGATATTATGCCCATTTCACCAATGAGAAGACCAAAATTCATAGAAGGGAAATGACTTGTCCGAATTGCACAGAAAAGCTCATACTCAAACTGAGGCTTCTGTCCCAAATCCTCAACCACTTCTTCTCCATCAAAACAACTATTCACCTTTCAAAGCCAAGCCTTTCATGTCCCATACCCATTGGTAATGCTCTCCCAGTTAGGTTCCCTTCTCTGGTCCTCAAACCCACCCCCTGAATCCTCTTACTTGCAGAGCTGGGGGCCAGCGCCCCGGGTGAGAACAGGAGTGGCAGGCACACTTCGCCCCTCAAAACTGGAGGCACTCCTGGGCAGTGAGCGTGTGGGACTAGACAGAGACAGGAAGGCCCAGGTGGCATCCACATTAGAGACTGTCCCCACCAACAGGCCCTCCTGCCAGCCCGGGCTTAGGATCCCATTCCTGGTGCATGGGGAAGGGAGGCAAGAGGCTCACCCTCACCTGGTAGGGCTGGCCACAGAGTTGCGCCGGCTCTTCAGGTCCCCATAAAGATCTGACGGGGGTGGTTTCCATGGAGTTCGTCGCTCAGGGCTGCCCCCAGATACTGCCCGCAGCTGGTCCCAGGCCTTGGGTGGTGAGGGGCGCTCAGTCAGAGGGAAGCAGCCACGGGGTTCCTCTGGGTAGAAGAGAGAAAGTGGGGGAGATTTCAATGAGAGGAGCCTGATGACTTTTGAGCAAAGCAAAGGGGAGGGGCTCAGGAAGCAGAAAGGGACAGAGGGCTGAGCAGGGCTAAGCAGGCTGAAAGTGAAGAAGAGGGGGACCCCACCGGAGGATAGGGCATGGTTAAGGGAGAGCTGAAGAGGGAGGGGCTGAGAATCAAAAGATAGGTGGGTTTGGGGTACAGGGGTCCTCACCATTATCATGGCTGGCCCCAGACTCTGAGAGGGAGCTGCTCTCTGAGTGCAGAACTACGTCCTCTACAGGCGAGAAGGGGGAGACCCCGGCCCATCAATGCCAGACCTGGGGCCACCCCTTACACTGCTGGCCAGTCTCCTTCCCATGCTTTGCCCTCCCCAAGAATCCACCTTTACCTAAATTCCAGACCACCAGAGGTTTGGCTCCTCACTTTCCTGGCAACTATGGGTCAGTTCCCAATGGCCCCACTCTTGCCCAGAGCCAGTTTGTCACCATTCCTCTTACTGGTTGGGTCCCTTAAACTTTAAGTTCTACCTGCTGCCCGCTTTTCACTGGCTGTTCCCCCACCCACCCCTACCTTGTCCCTTAGCCAATGCCTACTCCTCTGCTTTCACTGGTGGAGTGATGGGTCCTGGCTCACCTTGGCTAAGCTGAGCGAGGCGTGTGCCCAGGCAGATACCCTGGGTGGTGATAACTGCCCCTGTGGACAGTGGGAGCACTGGGAGGCCTAGGCGAGCCCGGAAATCCCCAAGCTGCTCCTCCAGCTCGTGCAGCCTCCGCAGTGCATCTGCCTGGACCTGGCGCCGGCGTCGGCGCTGCTCCACACTCAACTCAGGGGCCAAGGCCAGGCGGCGGGCAGCTGCCGCAATCTGCTGTTGCACTGACACCTCCCGTTCCAAGGCCTCAAGAGCGAGCTCCTGTGGGGTCCACCCAAGGGTGAGACAGAACCAAATGTTAGAAATGGCCAAGCACAGGAACCAGGGAGTAGCAGAGCCTATCAATACTGGAGGCCTGGAAGGTTCTTCCTGGGGGTAGAGCTTATTCCCTCTAGGGGCAGGGCCTGTCTTGATAAGGGACTGGGCCTATTCGCCTTCTAGAGGGTGAGAGACTTATGGATAGTTGGGGACCAGCATCTTCCCTCAGACCAGGAACCCACCTTCCTCAGACTCGGTTCCTTCTGACCTTGGCCTCTCTTTCCTGTGGACAAAACCCTGTCTCTGCCCAGGCTCCCCCTCCTCTCTATCTGTCCCACTCCCGAACTTGCTCTCCTTGCCCATCTGCTTACCTCAGCAGGGCACAAGGAATGATGTGTTGGGTTGGAGGGTGGTGGAGGATAGGCTCGAGCTGCAGGGGGCCGCCGGCGAACCAACTGGGGCCGTTCACCAGGCTCTAGTGGGCACTCAGGGGGCAACTGGCCAGTCAGCTCCTGGGGGGGGGAGCGGGGGGCAGAGACTACCAAGGGTTAGTTGGGGGACATGGGACAAAGCAGAAATGACGCCAGAAGCTACAGAAGTCCTACTAGGAGCCCAGTCCTGCTTGGCACCCCATGCCTGTTATTTCTCTTCCCCTTCCCAATTCTCCACCAGGCAGGTATGCAGCTTGGACTCTCAGACCCTCGATGACCCAAATCCTGAGGAAGTGGGGAGGACTGCTTTGGAATCTAGAATTTCTGAGTTTTTATGAAGGCAACACAGTCTATATACTACATATTATAGACTACTCCTTCAGGGCCTGGGGCTATATGCTCTGAACTGCATTATTTCTGGCAAACTGTAGACATTCACATCAAGAGGGGCAAATTGATACTATAAATCACCCCACGTGATTGGGGTCAGGTTTAACTGTCAAATTTTGGAGATAACAATTGTTTTGTGAGGTTTTTTGGACTTCCAATTTTTGACAGGGGGATGTGGGCCCAGACTGCCACATTTTATTGATTCTAAGACATCTAAGCTGAGTTTTGAGGAGCTAGTAGGTGTCAGGGAATTTGCAGCTCAGACAAGTGGCTCAGCATTTGCCACTCCAGTCTGCCAACCTAGGGGCCCAGGCTCCTCACCCCCGGCCCAACACTTTTAGGGCCAGGCCCTCACCGCCTCCTGGAGACACACTTTGCGTAGCTCCTGAAGTTTCAGGCTCAGGGCCTCCTGCAGAGCCCGCTGCCGGTCAAGCAGCCCCCTCAGACGCTCTGACTTCACCTGGGGGGCGGCTTCTCCGAACAGGGTAGCTGGACACAGAGGAAGCAAAGATCAATGGGGCAGCTATGGCATCCTGTGGGGCCAGGGACCAACCCTTCCCAAGTGCATAGGCACGTGGTGACTCAGAGCAGGGGAGGAGGCAGCAGGAGTGGGAACCAGCCACCGACCTGAGGCATTGAAGGTGGGAGAGCTGATCAGCTGACCTTTGACTTCCATCCTGGTGCTGTTGAGAGGCTGCAGCTGATGGCGGGACAAGGCCTGGCAGTGATGCATGGGAGCCATTAAGGAAGCATATGTCTGGTCCCCCAACTCCCGCCGCACACAGCTTCCCTCATAGCTTCCCACACCCCGGCTGGGAAGGAGTACCCTGACCCTACCGCCTGCTTGAACACAATCTCAGAATCTGTGTCAATGTCTAGCCCCACTTGACCCTGATACCTTGGTTCCCTTCCCATTGAGTGGGAACACAGCAAGTAGGGTGCTGGTTGGACTTACGATGCCTCCTCAGAGGCCCATGAGCCAGTCAGGAATCTCACCTGGGGAGAGAAAATTAATGGCACAGATTCAACCAACTATAACAATGAGCATTTATTAAGTACCTGGGTGCCTGGAATAGTTACCCTCTATTCTTAATCTTCACAAACACACTGTGACAGTGGTTCTGTGATTAACATTACTCCCAGTTTAGAGATGAGGAGAATAAGGCACAGAGAAGTGAAATAACTTGCCCACAGCTAAGGATAGAGCCCAGGCCCACCCTTCTGGTCTAACACTCTCCCTCACTAGAGCTGCTCCAACCTCACCAATTCCTCATAAGCTCAATGCCCATAGGGCCTCAGTGCCTTTGCCCAGGCTGCTGCCCGGCGTGCTCTTTTCACTTCTCACCATTCCAGCTCCTGGTTCTCACTTACATGCTGGAGCCTCAACGTCACTTCTAGAGGTGGGCTACCGCATTACTTCTCCTCACAACTGCTGTCCAATGAGAGACTATGCCTCCCTCGTATATTCATGAGGACAGGAAACATGTCTGTCCTGTTTTCATCAGTATCTCTGGCACTCAGAACACTTCTGCATGCACAACAAGTGCTCAGTGAATGCTAGGTGAATGAAAGAATGACAAGGCAGCCAACCCAGAGATCAAGCTCCAATTTGTGGGTCGTTACTTGTCTCAACTCTATCATGTAGCCCTGGTGTGACAGGTAGTGTCCACTTGGCTCCAGGACCCCTCTAGCCCCTCTGCCCACCCCAGCCTATCCTGCACCCAGCATAGGGAAGTCACCCTGCTGGGACTATGAACAGTAAAGTCCACAACTGCAGATAACAAGCTGATTGCCTCCTGCCTCTTTTCTCTGCCCCTGAGCTGGCCATGGAGCCTGCCTTGGCTGGTTGCCAGCCCTGCCCTCATCCCCTCCTCTGGAATTTGCTCCCTCCCTCCCACATCCTGCTCAGTTCCCAGCTGGGCAGCCAGGTAACATCACCTCCCACCACCTGGCCTGACCTCAGTGACAGGCAGCTGGGAGGGCCTCATGAGGCCACAGAGGTCCCATCCCCACCTACCTGGAATTCCCCAACTTGTCACGACATGGTAGCCAGGTATGGAGAAGACCTAGGCAACTGAGGAGGCGTGGGTTCAAATCCCTTCCACACCCATACATTGGGGGATGTGGCCAAGCTGCTAATATGGTGCTACCAGTTCCTCAGCAGTTCTCCTACCACTCAATAGGAAATGTATCCCTTCAGTGATTCTCTGTTCTCAACATTAGAGACGGAGGTAAGTCCCTAAAGCCCCTTTGCACACCCAGGCAGCGACATGTGCTTTGCAGAGGCACACACACACCCATCCTCAGAGGTCTGACAATGCCCAGCACAGTGGAGTTTCCTTGAGGTCCTACCTCGGCCTCCTCTGCCCCTTGGCTTCTGGGGGTTCTTCTTCCCCAGCCCATAGTTGGGGTTGAGGAATTCTCCCAGGGTTCCCCTAAATCTTCCTCCACCCCAACAGGAAACTCTACTCTTCCTCGGTGGACCTGTTCACCAGGATCGGCCCTGCATCTGACACTGGGCTGCCTCTAGCCTTCTTTCCCTGGGAGCTCACGGCATCTTGGAAGTCGACATAGGGTCCGGAAAGGAACCCTGAATCCACCCTGTCAACCTGACCTCAGGGACATAACTAGAGCCTGAGTCATGGGGTCAATGGGCAGGCTAGACACAGGGTTCACGCCCCATACCCCCACACCTGGCTCCCAAACCTCTGCCTCTGCAATCCTGCTCTCAGCACACTTGCCTTGGAGCCCAGGACTGCCCCATGCCCACCCAGTGATGAGAAGGGGGTCCCAGCAGCCCCCTCCCCAACACCCTCTCACACCAGCCCCTGGGGCTTCCCACTGGTGACTCTATCCTGTCCCAGGATGGGCTGCAGCATGAGAGCTGCAGAGGGCACCCCCACACCCAGAGGCAGGCCCAGCAGGTTTTTCAGGTCTGCCCTTCTGACACCACAGCTGAGAAAGAAATTCCTGGCTGTAATGACTGTTTACAACCAAGATACCTCATCTGGGTGGTACCCCAGCACATTCAGTGGGACCCTCATTTCTATATCCTGCTACTGTGGGAGCAAATACAAACTCCCAGTGTCTGGACTGTCCACACTGCCCTAAGGGCCCCCTGCCCCACTCTAGGTGAACAGATAGGGGGGCAGGCAGGCAGGTGCCAGGAAGTAGTTTCTCAATCAGCCAGTCTGGGCTTTCCTGAGGGGCTGGGCCCCAGGTTAAGGGAGGGTAGAGGCTACTCCCACAAGGGAAAAGGGGGGAAGAGGAAGTGGGGGACTAGAGAAGGGGGACTCTGGCTTCTCTCCTCCCTGATCTCTTCCCTTCCTCCATTTCCAGCAAGGGATCGGCTTCATGCCAGGAAAGGAAATTGGACATTTTGGGCTTCACCCATCTACTCAGGCCCTCCTTCCTTGCTGTCTTCTTGCACAGCCCTGGCTCTTATCTGCATGGAATGTTAGTACACCCCATACCGTCCTCCCCTGCCCCTGGGCCCATGTTCCCAGGTGCTCACCAATACCAGATGGGTACTGTGGGGTGGTCTCAGGTACCTGAAAAAAATAGTTGTCTTGACCAGGCCTGACTTCGGCTGGTAGTGGCAGGCTGGTAGTGCAGTGAGCAGTGAGCAATGAACACAGTAGCAGAAGCCAAGGCCGCCTCCCACTAGGCAATGGCCCAGCCTACCTGGCCAGGGACTGGGCTGGCCCATACCTTTTAACTCTTGCCTGCCTGCCACTAAGGTTCAGGTCACCCTTAGGGGCAGTCTTGGGCCAGGTCCCCTCAGGGTGTCCAGCAAGGCCAAGAGCCTGGACCTCTCCTCTCACCCCATACATCCAACAGAGAACTGGAGAAGGAGGGCTAAGGGTGGTAGAAGTGGCGGCTGCCTCTGGTGCTGCCCAAGGTCCCAGATCAGACCCTGCTCACCTCAGGGTATTATCTGGGAGCTCTGGGATGGAGGTCTGGACAGGTGCTAAGCACGGGGGAGGCCTTGGGGTGTATGTCTCTTGGCAGTTCACGTCACATTCCTGAAGCCCTAACCTTTTCCTCCCAGGGCAAGGCAGGAGTGGGAGAAGGTCTTTAGGTAATACCCACCCTCACTGGGGTAATAGTTTCCCAAGAAGAGGTCAGCTTTTCTAAGGAGAGACCAGGTCCCAAGATCCTACAACCTTCTGCAGCTCCAAGAGAAATCATCCCAACAAACCCACAAAACACACACGTGGTTTAACCCCTCTGGTCCCTACAAACCTGTGTGGATGGCGCTGACCCAGCTCCTCATATCCAGCTTGTAGATGTGGAAGCTGGGGCACGGAGAGGTGAAGAGGCCTGATTCTGATTACAGAAGCATAAGAGCAGGTAGGATCAGATCTTGGGGCAGGGGGTGGGGGGCTGGGTCCTGGGTTGGAGGCTGACAGAGGCTATTCCTGCAAGGGAGGAGTGGGAAAGGGGGACTCATGCACTTTCACATCCATGCTGCTCTGCCTTCCCCATTCCTCCCCCTCAGGCATTTCTGGCCAAGAGTCAAAGAAATTGAGGGCTCTGAGTCCCTAGATGTACTGCTTACCCCACAACACCACCTAGGCTCTGAGCTTGCCCCGGCACACACCACATATCCTGTGCTTCATTTGGGACCATCTGCTCTGTAACCTCAGGGCCCAAGCACAGTCCAGGCCCCTGCAGCAGCCCAAACTATGAGGTGAAAGGGCAGAGTGAGACAAACTCCCTGCCTGCTTGGCAAGTGGACCAAGCCTGGAGAGCAGCTCACTCTGTATCAGCAACACCCTATATATGTGCCTCCTGCCACCCTGCCCACCTTTCTTCCTGGATATGAGATTTCTAGCATGGAACACAAAGGCCTCTTTTATCCCCACTTCTCTCCCCCTTTACTTCCTGGGGCTGGTGGAGATGGCGGCCATAAGGTGGGCAGCTGGATATTGGTGGGGAGTGTTCTCTCAGCCATGGCCTCTCCCACCTCTTGTGGGACACCAAGGATGTTGGGAAGAAGAATGTTTATAGAATCAGAGCCAAGAGGGTCAAGAGTATCTGGCTGGCAATGCAGATTGAGTCTTAAGGCTTAGGTTTTCTCATCTGAAAAATGGATAACTGGTGTTTACGGAGCCAAGAGAGGCAGGCCAAAGTCACTTTGGAGGGTATTTCACAGTGCAAGGATACTCATACCATGTCATTAATGACTGTCAATAACAATAATAACTTCACACAGAGGTGGGCTGGTATGAGGGTAAGGAGAGAGCAGGTAACTGGGCCTTTTGGGCCAGGCAGACAGGCAGGGCAGAGTTACCCACCACACGTCATTGCCCTGGTCCATGATTTCTACCAGCCTGGAAGCTGGCCAACCTCTAAGCCCCACTGTGGCCAGGACCAGAGCCTCAGGTGGCTTCATGGAGGGATAATAAGTGGTGGGTCTGCGATTCAACCCAGCTCTGCTACTTACAGGCTGTGTGACTGCTTGCACAAGTCCCTTAACCTCTCTGGGCCTCAGTGTCCTCGTCTTTAAAGTAGGAGTGATGATAACCATATGTACCTCACAGGGTTGTTGTGAGGATGACATGAGTTAATCTAAAATTTGCTTAGGACAGTGCCTGGCCCACGCTAAGCGCTCAACATGTACTGTCAGGAAACAAATATATATACATGTAGATGTGTGTGTGTATAAAATTTAGAGAGAGACAGGACAGAGACACACAGAGCTGGTATCCCTCAGCCTCACCTTATACATTTGAAACAGAGCTGTTTTCCTTCAAATAACTTGTCTGAAGTGTCATCTCACTATCCAAATCAGGAACTAAATATATTTAGGTGAATTTCTGAGATAGAGCTGGTATCCCTCAGCCTCCAAACCCTCCCTACTTGCTACACAAACCTGGAAACATCCCTACTCACCACCCAGACCCAGAACTCTCCCTACTCGCCAAACCAGACATATTTGAAACAGAGCTGTTTTCCTTCATTATCCAAGCTCTCCCTACTCAACATAAAAAATGCAGGAACCAAATATATTTACACAACACAGTACTCTTGCTATCCTAATTCTTGGCACCGAAGCTCAGGAAAATTAAAAGACATGAATAGGCTTTTGAGTTAGAGCCGTTATCCTTCATTATCTGAACTCTCTCCACTCATATGTAAAACACACAAACATTTGTTTTTGAAAGCCAGTTTATCAACACACCACTGGATCTCTGTGAAAAAGAGGAAGAACAAAAGAGCTGCCAGAAAATCTTATATACATATATGCAAAAACAAAATACTTTCAGATAACTTGAAATCTTTTCATTGTCTGAACTATCCAAACTCTCCCTCTCAGAACTCAGGTACTAAATAGATTGGAACAATGAGGGATGCTTGTGTTGTTATTAGTAGGTTTGGATAAATGTTTAGGTAAATGAGATGGGTCTAGTAGTTTGTTCCTCAAACTCTCACTACTCCCTATGAGAAATGCAGGAACAAAACATAACTGAATAACACATTACCTCCTTGCTCTCCAAATTCTCCCTGACTGTCCTCACAATCAAGGAGATTCAGACAGCAAAGGAACCTCATACTATTATTATTGTTCTATTATCGTTACTACTGGATGGGCCTGATTCTAACGCCCAGCAGCTGTTCCCTCTGACCTGCCCCACAGAGGTTGGATGGATTTAGCACTAGGTTTGTACTGCTTACTGCTGAGAGAAGAGGCAATAAGCCCCTGCCCCCAACCCACCCCTACCAAGCCCTGAAGTCTCTGGCCTAGAATGGACTTTTTTTCAGGCCAGAAAAGAAGGGATCATGCACCCAGGATCAAGACCAGGAGATGGGGTGACACGACCTAGAAGAGTCACACATACCTTTGAGTCTCCCACCTCCACATATTTGGTCATCCACCCATGGGGCAGCCCCTAACTCAGCAAGGCTGGAAACACAACCCAGACTTTGCAGACTCCCAGAGAGGCACTGAATAATTTAGAATGCTCTCCCACACTGGGGTGGGTGGGAGGCATAGGTGCAGTTCTATGCCTTCTTAGGGCAGGGAGAGAAATGCAAGCTCTGTGTGAGATCACTGGGTGAGGGTGGGGGAAATCACATATGAAAAGCACCTCAGCCACACAGGGCCCTACAAGGGTGCTTGTTCTTGTTCATGATAAGAGAAGCATTTGGGATGAACTTCAGAAATAGTATGAACAGTAGAACCTCAAGTTCAGAGGCAGGGTATAATGTGACCCCTGTCCTGACACAGAGGAGATGAAAAGTGGGTGTCAGGAAGGAGGGAGATCTGAATAGGGTGGAGAGGCCGGCAAGGGGTAGAACAAAGGCCTGGAGTTGGGATGGGATGAAGGGACAGGACAAGAAGGAGTGTATGGGACAAAATAAATCAGAGTCATTGTAGGATGGAGGTCGGAAGGCAGGACAGATGAGCCGGGACACTGGCCAGGAGATGGAATGGAGTAAGGTTCAGGACAAGGGTTAGAGAAAAAGAAGGGGTCAGCAAGGGACAATAGAGCAGGGCAGGGGCCAGGGTCAGTACAGAACAGTAATTAGAAGACATGATGGGGGACAGGCCAAGACAGTGGTCAAAGGAAGGGATAGGAAAAAGGGAAGGTTCGAAGTGGAGGTAAGGAACAGGAAAAGACTGAGACAAAATGAGGCTAGGAATGAGGACAGGGATGGGACAAGAGAAGACAGGGGAACACAGCACAGGATTGGGCAGGGACAGGACAGGAGACAGGGAGATGGTCTACAGGTGATGAGCCAGGTCAGGAGAGGGACCAGGGGGACAGTTCAGAGTGGGGAGAAAGTACAGAAGTCAGAGGTCGGGAATCTGGACGGACCGGGATTGGGCTAGCGTTCAGAGGATAGGAAAGAACTGGAAGGAGTTCAGAGACTGGATATGAGTTTAGGGCACAGATCAAACATCAGGACAGAAACTGGGGTGATCAAAACAAAGCAAGATGAGCTTCAGAGATGGAACAGGGTCAGGCAAGGATCTGGGGTCAAGCAAGGATCTCGAGAACAGCTCTGAATGGGGTTTGGAGTCAGGATTGAGTTTAAGGGAACAAAACAGGAGTTGAAAATGATGCCAGGCCAGAATATAGTTAGGTCAAGGGTCAGACTGGAGGTCCTGGGGTCCAGACCAGTCCAGGTTCGAGGTTCAAAAAAGATGTAGTCAGGTTCA